CGAAGGTCTGAGCCCTTGGGGGCGCGATTTAGCCAAACTCTCACTTCCCACCAGGCTCGCCACCAGGGATCATGTCCCGCCCCAAGAGTACTGCTTTCCCTAATCTATTTATTCCATCAGAGCTTCATGAGATCGGATTAAACAAACATAAGAAAACTGGACAAACCAGGGACCTTTCAAAGAGAACTATAAACCCCAGGCTGCAAATAATCTCATTCTGAATGTGAAGATTGAAGTTTTATTTTTAAACAGGGAAAGAAAAAAAGCCCCTAACATTCCTAATTATGGCCCTGAGCCTTTTCCTGGGTTGAGTCTAAGACCTCACTGAATTTCTACCTACTGAATAACTTGAATGAACAAGCATTTATTAAGCACCCACTACATAGCCAGAACCGTGGTTGCTGGGCCCTGGGGACACAATCGGAAGCCTAATATAGTGCCAAGAGAAGGATCAGCTATGCAATCTTCAGGTTACCATTTAAAGCCCTTCACTTTCCAGCCCCCTGCTGCTAACACTGGCCCATTTGCTGGTCTTCCCATAGGCCACTCTATCTCCCATTTCCGTGGCTTTGCCTTCCATGTTCCCTCTGTCTGGAATGCTCTTCCCACCCCAGCCCCCATGCCTAGAATGGTCCATCCTGGTTGCCCGCACGACTCAGCCGCCATTCCACCTTCTTCAGGAGATCTCTCCTTCTCTCCCTTATAAATACATCTTTCCTTCCCCTTCCTACCCTTTCTCTCTGAGCTGATCTTCTATTTACTCTGTAGTTATTTGGATGGGAGCTCCTTGGGACAGGGACAGAGTTCTGACCTTCCTTTGTATTTTCAGGGCTCAGCACAGCGCCTGGCACACAGTCAGAGCTTAATAAGTGACTTTTTGTCATCTCCCAACACTCAGTAGTAACAGGAGGGAGCCAGAATGGCATTGGGGCCGTGGCAATGATGCCCAGAAAAGCAATGGGCCACCATCCTTCCTATCCTATCCAGCCGCCCACACAAACTGCCTCACCTGCCACCTGTCCCCACTGGCATACCCCTCAACTTTCAGCCTCCCCAGAGCAAACTTCCCTCCCCTTCACCTCCCTCCTTGATGTGTTCTTTTCCCCGGTTAGAATATAAGCTCCTTGAGGCAGGGAATGCCTCTTTTTCAATCTGTTTATCCTCAGCCCTTAGCACAGTAGCTGGTCCACAGTCAGCACTCAATAAAAACAATTTCCTTCATTCATTCAGATATAAATTAGATAGAATAAAAATGCCATCACACACAAAGCAGAAGTCTTAAATTCAGTCACAATGGGTTAATAATAACAACGATAATAATAATAATAACTACTAGACACTGATGTAGCACCCTAAAGATTGCAAAGGGCTTGACGCTCTTTGAGCCTCACTGGAGTCTCAGTATGATCTCCATTTTACAGATGAGGAAACTGAGGCCAAGAATAACTCATCCAAAGTCACTGGATTTATATGAACACAAGCACAGGTGTTACCATAGCCTCTAGAAGCACAGATTTAGAGCTGCAAGGAACCTCACTATCATGGACACAGGACTGGGAGACACGAAGTTGGGGGTTGGGAAGGCCTGGGTTCAAATCTAGCCCCAGACACGAATGGTGTGGATCACTTCATCTCTGTGGGTCTCGGCTGCTTCCTCTGTAAAACGAGGGAGTTTGACCGGATGGTCTCTTCCAGTCCTGAATGCCGGATCCTGATCACTGGATAGATTCTAGTACACCTTCCTTTCATAGGTCAGGAAACTCCATCTCTCAGCTCCCAGCCTCCTTTTCTCTGGCCATCCCTCCCCATGTGTAGAATTCTCAGCCTCCTCATCTCTGCCTTCTGGCTTCCCTGGTCTCTTTCAAGTCACCAGTCAACAGACATTTATTAAGCGCCAGTCACTACGCTAAGCACTGGGGACGTGAAAAGAGGCAAAAGATAGTCCCTGCCCTCAATATGATGAGGGGACAATAAACAACCCAATGTGTGCAAACAAGCTACAGAGACAGGGGAAAAAAGGAGACAGTTAACAGAGGAAAAGCACTGGCATTGAGAGGCTGTGGGGAAGGTTCCTGTAGACACAGGTGGGTTCCAGTTAAGATTTAAAGGAAGCCAGGGAAATGGCCAGGGGGCACTGAGGCAGGAGAACCTTTTAGGCAGAAGAGGCGGCCAGAGAAAACAGAGGTCTGAGAGACGGACGTCTGCTCATGGCAGACCAGTGGGGCCAGTGGTTCTGATCGAGTATGTGTCGGGGAGAAAGGTGCGTAAGGACTAGAAAGGGAGGAGGGGGCAGGTCAGGAAGGCTGTGACCGCCAGAGGATTGGGGATGGGGAGATGAGTAAGAGCAGGCAGAGTTAACTGAGGGTGGGGGTGACCTGATCGGACCTCTGCTGTGGGAAATCACTTGGTGGCTGATGGCGTATGTTTTGGAGTGGGGAGGGACGTGAGGCAGGCAGACCCACCAGGCAGCCATGACAATAGCCTAGGCATGATGTAATGAGGGCCTGCATCAGAGTGGTGGCAGCATCAGAAGAGAGAAAGGAGCACAATGGAGAAACGGTGCAAAGGTGAAATCAACAGGCCTTGGCAACAGATTGGATATGGCAGGAGGAGGGAATAAGCCCCGGCTAAAATCTCCCCTTCTGCAAAAATCCCTTCCCAATCCCCTTTAATCCTAATGCCTTTGTTGATTAGCTCCAACTTATCCTGGACACAGCTTATTTGCACATAGCTGTTGACAGGCTGCCTCCCCACCAGACTGGATTGTTTTTGCCTTCTCTGTATCCCCAGCCCTTAGCACACAGTAGGTGCTTAATTAATGCTTCCTGACTGATGTGACTAGCCCAAGGTCACACGATATGAGTAGCAGTAGCTGGCTCTGAAGCCAAGTCCTCAGACAGTAAATGCTGCGCTCATCCCAATGTTGCAGATTTCCTTTATTGGTCTGAAAAAACATGATTGGGCAAGTGACACCCACCAGCCTGTGACTCCCATTTTCTTCCCTTTTTTTCTCTACTCCTGGGGGGGGGGGGTCAATTCTACTGTTTTGATTGACCTGTCTCAGAGTTTTTTTTGCCTGGTTTTAATGACTGACTGTGTTTCCAGGTAGCAGCTGAATCCTCCAACCTGTGTGTGGGCGCACGCGCGCACACGCGAGCACACACACACACATACCCATCACACACCACACACACAGGGCTTTCCTACCCAGCTTGTATGAATGAGCTCCTTCCCTGAGATCATGATTAACACTTGCTCTGAAGGCAGGCAGGTGTTTTGAAGAGGGGGCTGTTGGAGCTTGATGCACCATTTAAACCCAGGGCCAAGAAAGTACTCTCAGGAGTGGAGGGGTAGGAGAGCAAAGACACCCTTTGAGATCTGGCCTTCTGGCAACCTCCAAAAAGATTCATTATAGACAGAATATTCAGTCTGGGTTATAACTGTGCCAGGAAATGTAAACACCCTGTCCCCAAAGGCAGGAGGTGGGGAAAAAGGAGTAAATGATGGGAAGGAAGCTGATCCTGAAAAGTTTATCCAACTCCACACGTTTGACTCTCTAACAAATTCCAAGTTTTTTTTCCCACGGCCAGGCCGGCCATTTAACAAAAACAGGGAATGTTTAAGGGGGAGGAAAAAAAGAACAAAAAAGCAGCCTCCCAAAGCCGGCTTCTTTCTGGCTTTTTCTTCATTTCCCTCCAGGGCGGGAATGAAATCAAGCCAGCCCCTTTAGGAAAATGAGCCTCTGTGTGCGTAGCCACAGACAGAAGAGCCCCTCTGAGAAAGGCCGGGGCCAGGCCAGGCCTTGTCAATTCCACCTCTCAGCTGGGGAAACGTCTAAAGTTTCACTCGGGAAAATCTCAACTAAAACCAACACTTCCCTTTCCTCCTAGGGAGAATTTTATGAATGATCTGAGTAAAGCTTCCCAGGCAAGAACACACTGCCAGGCTCAGCGTAAGGCAGGAGGGCCAGGCAGCAAATGAAGGCAGCCAGAGCCACCTTGGGGAAATTTTCCTCACTGAAATTGAAAGATTCCGTAGTCCATCCACTACCCACTCCTCCCAGCACCTCTGGCCAGACTTCATATTTAAAAGGAAAGGAGTCAAGCATGGCTTTTCTCCACTCCACCGCCTCCATATGGTCGGAGAGAACACTCGTGGCCTACCCCCCACCCCCACCCCCGCCCCCGCCCCCGCCCCCGCCCGTCTCCGATCTGAACCCGCGGTGCGTGGGAAGTCTTGGGTTCCGGTGTCCGTGGCTGGCCTTTACCACCACCCCCACTTCCCCAGGCCTCTTTTTTCCCACGCGAGCCCGAGCTCTGACTCCCCACGTTTCTGTCCCCGGATGCTCAACCTGGGTGCCCGCTATACCTGGGTACACGCCTTCCCAGCTGAGGGGGGGGAGGGCTGCGGAAAGGGGGGCGAGAAAGCGAGAGGGGCGTGGCACTCCCCAGAGGCGCTCTACGCCAATCTCTCTACCGCAAAGTGGTCTCCCCCCAACCCCTAAAGGAAGGGCAGCGCCCTCCCTGCGCCCAATCCCTCGACCGTTGCCCCAGCCTGGGGTTAGGGGGCATCCTCGTGGAGGACGCGCCCAGGGCAGACGAGACGGGCAGGAGTAGGGCAGCGTTTCTCCTTCCCCTCCCCATCCCCCAAACCAGGCACACTCAGCTGGGGGCGGAAGGCTCCCCCAGGCCTGGGCACCCCCTCCTAGGCTTCAAGCCCAGGGCCAAGCGCCCCCTCCTCAGCTCCCGCGCCCAGGGCGCACGCACGCCCTCTCCTGGCCCCGGTCTTGGGGCGCTTAGTGCGCGAAGCCAGTCTCCGCCCTCCGGACACTCATGCCTGCCTTCCTTCCTTCCTTCTTTCCCTCCCTCCTTCCATCTCTCCTCCGCCCCAGGATTCGGCGGCGCCGCCGCCCCCCAGATCCCTGCCCTGTGCCGCACCCTGCGCTCTGCTGCCCCCGAGGGTGTCCACCGCGTACCCCCGCCCAGTGTGGCCTCGCTCACCTCTCGCCGCAGCAGCTGCCGAGGGACTCTGTCTCTCTGGGCGACCAGAGACTGCTCCGACCTCTCCTCCTGCTCCTCCCGGTCCCCGGCTCCGCCTAGCTCTGGGGGAGGCGGGGCGCACGGACAGACGGGCGGAGCGGTGGTGGCGGCGCCGGGCTTAGCAGCAGCTTTGGCCCAGGCTCTCTTGCCCCCAAGGCTCTCTCCCTCCCTCCTCCTCTCCCTCCCCCGCTCGGCTGCAGAGCCCGTGCCCAGTGCGCGCCCTGGCACCCGAACTGGGCCCAGAGAGAGGTCTGCAGCACTTTGGGTTGGGCACAAGTGGTCGAGTTGGGTGCACACCCTGCAGAAGGAGAGCCCTGCTGGTCTCTGTGGAAGGCTGTCCACGGTTATTTAAGGTGTTGCAGCCCCTGCCCCACCCCCAATCTGGATTGGCCTTTTTCTGGAGCTGTCTCCAGATGTTTCGCCCACCCTGGGGCGCAGAAGATCGGCTTGGGGTCCCGTCTCAGGGACTGGGCGCTGAGCCAAGCCTCATCGGTAGCAAACAGTTGATTCTGTAAGATTCAAGGCCCATGGGGGGCTTCTTGTAAAGTGAGGATAGGGTTGCTGGCCTTTGTTTTATTAATGCAGCTACCACCCAGAAGTGGTAGCACCATCCCCAACCTGCACTGGGTGCAAGTGTCTGTCACACATAGTAGGAGCTTTGCCAATTGACTGCCTCCTCAGATGGGAGGAAGGGAGAGCGGGGCTGGGGAATTTGACCAACTATATTTTCTTTGGCCAAAGTTTGGATATAATTAGGAAGGCTGTAGTAGCGTGTATACATATATACACACAAACATTCATACTTCAGTGGTGCCGTGAAGGAAGCCTGGTTTGGGAAGCAAAGGGCCTCTCTGAATGCCCAGATCCTCTTCTTTCTCTGTGTGTGACCTTGGGCAGCTTTCCCAACCTCTTGTGCCTCTTTTAAAGTGAGGTAACGGGACTGAGACTCCCACCATCTCTTCTAGTTCTGAACGCCGGGTCCAGTGCTTGGACAGTGATCGGTGCCTGAGGGTCAGATGATTTGCAGTCAAATTCTGAACGCTGGTTCACTTACTCCCTGTGCCGACTTGGGGACATCAGTTCATTTCTTGGGAACTCGGTTTCCTCCTCTGGAAAGCAAGGGGATTGGACCGGAATCCCCCCAAGGTCCCTTCCAGTTCTCCAAAGGGGTACCCCACTAGGTGTTGCATTCCTGAATAGCTGAGCCTCCACTCACCCCTTTCTATGGAACTATAACAATAACCTCTAATGATCTCCCTGCCTCAGTCTCTCCCTTATCCAATCCGTCCTCCAGGATAAAGTGATTTTCCTAAAGTTTCGGTCTGACCATGTCATCTCCTCCCACGCTAGCCTATACACTCAATAAACTCCATTGGTGGCACTCCAAGATGAGGAATTCTTAACACCAGTTTCGGGTTAAAGCTCTCTCAAGGTCTGACTAAATTGACAGGTCCCTTTTAAGAATCGTCTTCTTCACTGCAGCCAATAAACCCAAAGGATTACAAAGAAAATCAATTCTATTGGGATAGTTATTTTTTCTTAATAGTTCACAGGTTAAGAACCTGTGTTCTAGGCTCAAATGCAAATTTTTCTGTTGGCGTTTTGGCCCCTTCCCACCCTCTCCACGGGCCACTACCTTTTCAGTATTCATGCTATTTCTCACACGCAAGCCTCCATCTCCCATCGGAGATCTTTGCACTGTCCGTCCCCGGGGCCTGGAATGCTTTCCTCCCTGCCCATATCTGTATCTAGCAATCCCTGGTTACTTTCAAAGCTGAACTCCAGCACTTCAAATGAGGCCTAGCCAGCTTCCCCAGATGCTAATCGCTCTCTTCTCTCCAATTATTCCATGTATGCGTGTTTTTTAATATAAATGTTGCTGCCCCTATAAAATGTAAGGTCTTTGAGGGCAGAGACAGCTTCATTTTTGAATCCCCTGTACATAGTGCAGGGTCCCTTTAAATGCTTGTTGACTGTTGAGAATTTGACCAGCTGTATTTTCTTTGGCCAGTGTCTCAATGGCCAGTTGGAGAGAGAAGGGGTTCCATTGCAGACAGGACAGGCTCTCGAGTGTTTCTACGAGGTAGGCAATCCCTGAGCACATGGTGATCTTCAGAAGATTGCTGTTCCTCAGAATGAGAATAGATGTTCCACGAGAAAGCTTCAATACTAGTGATCTTTGCCCTGAAAAAATTTCAAATATAAATTCATGTCTGTGCCCAAAATAGTACACACAGCGATTTTGAAGTATTGGAATAGACTTAATTTCCTGTTGAGAGTAAAACTTGCTTATTCCGTTATCCTGTGGATGCCCCATGCTCCCCCTAGCAGCATTTTTGGGGTTTCATCACTACATCTGGAACATAGAATTATTAAAAAATGACTATGAAAAACACAGGTAGGGGATATTTATGTTCACGCACTTTGACATGAAGTGGGATTGGCACACAAGGGGAAGCTGGCCAGTTGGGGATCCATTCATAATCCTCACAGTTCCCAAGAAGCTTAGCTTCTAGAAGGGATCTCCTTATCTCCTATTCTCTTTGCTTTTGCCATATTCATAGTGAAACTGGGGTGGGGGTGGGGGGAATTCAAGAGAACTTCCGTTGAGGAGGGCGTGAAGGAAGAGAGAGGGGTGGCTAGAATGCCCACCCCAGTGAACAAGGAATCATCTTTGATATCTTAAAGATGTGGATTATTGGGGAGAGGAAGAATCAGACAACCAAAGTGAGCCCCTCCCTTCATTTCTGATCCCGGCCAGTAATAGGAGAGCTCAGAGTAGTTCGGACAGACTGTCCTTCATCCCTCTGTACCCTAAAACCAAACGCTGCCTTTTGGAGTCTGTCGTCCAGTCAGAAAACATTTATTAAGCACCAACTATGTGCCAGGCACTATGCTAAGCAAAAAGAGACAGTCCCTACCCTCAAGGAGCTTACATTCTCATGGAAGAAGACAAAGCCCAAAGCAGAGGGATGCTTCCTTTGGGTGGGGCATTGTTTAGAAGTCTAGAAAGTCAGAAACAGCCTAGAAAGGAATGAAAGTTGGCAGCCTGGACCCCTTTCCAAAAAGGAGGCCCTGAGAGAAATGAATCAAGGGAAGAAGGGGAAGGCTAACAGAATGAGAAAGCTGCAGGGGGATGGGTGTTCCAGGATGAGGAGGTCCCAGGTGCTGAGGGAAGGTCCAGAATGACACACTGGGAGACAGAAGTAGAGCCTGGAAGGGAATGAAGCTTGGCCATCTGGAGGCTCCAGGAAGAACTCAACAATGAAAGAAAGCCCACCCTTGAATCTGACTGGGCCATTCCATGAGTGATAAGCAAGCAGCAAGTCAGTGAGTCAGTAAGTCAGTCAACAAGCATCTGTTAAGCTCTTGCAGCATTCCAGATTGTGCTAAGCGAGGGGATACAAAGAAAGGCAAAAGCAGGATATCTGCCCTCAAGCAGCTCAGGTTCTGATAAGGAAGAGCAAGGAGTGACTGAGGTCCCAAAAAATGCAGCAGATGAGCCAGCTACAGCAGGAAGGCTGTGTGATAGGCCCCTGCCGGTGCCTGAACCTAGAGTGACGAAAAGCGGTTGGAGAAGCCTGCACCCTCAGTCTGCCAACCCACTTTGGATTCGTTTTGGTGGCCGGCTACCAGCTCCCTGTCAAAACTGCAGAGTGGGAAGTCTGCATCATCCAAGCACCTCAACTGTGCTCCTGGAGCTTCTGGGATTCGGGGCACACACAGGAATAATTCTGGGGAGGCCTCAGTCTGGACGGAGCGCAAGTATGACCCACACACTGACTTTTTTGAGTAGGTATCAGCAATGCAGGTAATAATGGGAGGAGGAGGTAGCATCAGTAGAAGCTCCCCTGACCCCTTGCAAGATGAAGAGACTGCTTGGTTGAGCTCACAGGATTTGGGGGCACATGAAAATCACCACAGGTCAAGGTGACCTACACGAGTAGGGGATGGGGCTGTCTTGTGTAAATTCTTTCTTGTCGTCCAGTCGTTTCAGTCATATCTGACTCTCTGTGACCCTGTTTGGAGTTTTCTTGGTAGAGATACTGGAGTGGTTTGCTATTTCCTTCTCCAACTCATTTTACAGATGAGGAAACTGAGGCAAACGGAATTAAGTGACTTGCCCAGGGTCACACAGCTAGTAAGTGTCTGAGACCAAATTTGAACTCGGGTCTTCCTTACTCTAGGCCTGGCACTCTATCCACTGTACCACCTAGCTTCCTGTGTAAATTCTTACTTAACTGTAAAAGGTTGGCACTCAGGTAAAAGTTGGATGAGGGAGAGAAAACTCTCATTGATGAGGCCACAGATAAACCCGATGTTAAAAAAACCTTAAAAGTGTCCCCTGTAGCAATATGGTCGAGAACTCCCTCCCTTCTTTCTCGGGGCTCTCTCCTCTGTATCTAGTGGATGTTGGGACTGTGTCCTAACATGGAAGACAGACTGTTAGACCACAGACTTGTGGATTCTACATTCCCAATTCCCTACAGAACTGAACTGCTTCTGTCTCCTCTGTCTCAAAATCTCTACCCCTACAAAGGGTCCTAGAGATCTGAGTTTCAAAGTATCACTAACTAGTGGACTGTCTGGTTGGGTGTCCCTCATCCTCATGGAGTTACATATGCTAATGGCCTTTTCACAGTGGTCATCTTACTTGAGCTCTCTGTAGCCTTTAACGAGTTGATCACTCGTCTCCCTGACAATTTCTCTCTAAATTTCCGTGATACTAGTCTCTCCCACTCTTCCTCTTACCTGCCTAATCTCTCCTTCTCAGGCTCTTTTGCTGGATCTTCATCCAGGTCATGCCTACTAACTGTGGATCTCCTCCAAGGCTCCATTCTGAGACCCCTTCTCTTCCTCCTCTTGACTATTTCACTTGGTGAGGTCATGTATTCAATCATCATCTCTGTCCAGATGATTCTCAGATCTATTTATACAGCCCTCACCTCTCTCATGACTTCCAGTCCCACATCTCCAGCTGCCTTGTGGACATCTTGAAATGGATGTCTCATAGATGTCTTAAATTCAACATTTCCAAAACTGAT